AGATTTTGTGATAGTTTTTGCTGTTAAACAGTGCTTCTTGATAAATACAAGGTAGTTAAAACTTATAATTTCTTACCAGAAAACCTCAATCCATGTTTTTTTCCCTTTCCTTCTTTCTCCTCTATCTTTTTGCATCATTTTTGTCGCATCTAACACTGTGACAGCTTTAAAAAATTTAATAGAAAGAAATAGATTTTTAGCATTCTAATTTTTGAATCGGAATTGTTTTGTTGAAGGATTCATTATCTTATATTATCATCTAGTTATTTTAATTTATTAATAAAGATTTTATAGTTTTGGATTAATTATAGTTTTAGAAGGTATTAACACTTTTAATACACTGTATCTAAAATAAGTTGTATTATTCATTTTGTTTTAAGTTATTAAAAAAATATTGGTTTATATTCTGGTGATTTATTTGTGATATTTTTGATTTTGACATCCATAAAAATTTAATTATGAATGTTTCTAACTCTTATATTAATAAATATTACATAGTTTAAAAATAATAAATTTAAATCAGTATTGTTATTCTGACTCTAACATTAATAAATAAATTAATAATAAATTTATTTTTTATGAATATATATTTTTTATTTTACTTGTTTTTATTTTTTTGGAAGTGGGTTGCACCCAGCCACCCAGCGACTGGGCAAAGGCACGCACCACGCGTGCACAGGGAAAGGCTAATTAAATTTCACGGCAACAGTGTCAAATGATATTGCAAAGCGGGAAGAGAAGATTACCTGGACGCAGGAACGAAGACGATGGTGAAGCTCTTTCTGTGTGATCGGGTGACACTAGCCGGGCACCCGTTCCAACCTCCCCTTCGTTCTTCTGGCTTTGTTCTTTGTGTTTCTGATGGTTCGGAGTGTTGAAGCTGGAGACAAATGCCCCGGCTGATCAATGCCTGCAATTTCTCTGTTTTTCCCCTGTTCACTTTGGTTGCATTCTTCCTCCCTGTGATTTTTTTTTCTGTTTGTGCTCTCCCTGTTTTTCTTTTCTGTGGTTTGTGTTTTTGGCTCTCTCTCTCTCTCGGTCCCTCTCCCTCTTCTGGTTTTTTTTTTCTTCTTTGCGTTTCTCCTTCCCCACTGTTTCCCCTTTCTCTGTTTCGTTCGTTCTCCTGGCTTTGTTTTTCGTGTTCTAGCCCCGGGGTCCTTTCTATTTTCTTTCCCTTTGTTTCGTTCTACTCGTGACACCCCTTAGCGAACAATCGTTCTCAGGCTTTTATAGCCTGAGAACAATGCCGTTTCTTCCAGCCATAAAGTTTGTTAATTGCAGGTATAATGGTGGGAGCAGCGGTGGGCGTCCGTTTCAGCAGGGGAGGAAAATGAACAGTAACTTAAAACGGCGCCGTTTTTGGTGTTTAATGGCTATTTTCATTTTGGCCCTTTACTTTTTGAAAGTTTTGTAATTAAGCCTCTAGTTAAATTTCCATTTGACCCCTTCATTTCAGTACCTTTAACAAGTTAGTCCTTGGACTTTAATCTGTTGCAATTATGCCCCCAATTAACCCCAAACTTTAATATTTCTTCAATTAAATCCCTGATTTCATTAATTAAATCAATTCTAAGCACAATCAAGTCTCAAAACTTATCAATTCTCCAATTAAACTCCTAATTTGATTAATAAAACTAATCCAAATTTTAATTAAATTCAAAAACTTCCAATCATGATGTCTTTAACCCGAATTTTAATTTATTCTTTATTTATTTATTATTTAGTTGTTTTTCATCATCATTTTTTCATTTTTTATCATTTTTCAGTAAATAATAATAATAATAGTAACAATAATAATTAAAATAAAAGGATAAAAAATTAGATTATGACAGTTGCCCTCTCTTTATAATATTTACTATGCAAATATATTAGAAAATTTTGTTTTCTCTTGGCTTTGCATAGTAAATTTATAAAGAAAAGTAAATACATTTGTTTTTTTTGAGATTCTTTGAAAACTTTAAAAATAAGAGAGAGATGTTGAAATCATGAAACAAGTCATTTGGAAGATGATCCTTCTTTTCTGTTTGAAATAGATCAAATTGTTTTGGGCAACCTGCCCAATAATAAAAGAACGCGAAGGGTTTCGCAAGTGGTCTAATTATTCCAGGCGACTTGCCTGATGAAGATAAAAACACAAAAAGGATTTCACAAGCGGTCTAATTATTCTGATAGGAAGAAGGTAACGTGAAAAGGATTTCGTGAGTGGTCTAATTGTCCAAAGCGACCTACCTGGTAGAAAAAAAAAACGTGAAAGGGGTTTCGTGAATGATTTAATTGTCCTAAGCAACCTGCCCAATGAAGAATGAAACGCGAAAAGGGTTTAACAAGTGATCTAATTATTCCAGACAACTACCCAATAGGAAGAAGAAAACACAAAAAGGGTTTCAGAAGTGGTCTAAATGTCTCAGGTGACCTACTCGATGATAGAATGCGAGGAAACTCATAAGTGGTCAAATTGTTTGAGGCGATCTACCCGATGTTAAAAAATATAAGGATTTTTTTTTTTTGACAAATACAAAGAAAGGGTCTCATTGGTGTCTTATCCCCAAGATGGGAACTCAAAGGAGCACTTGAAAGGAAGATGAGGGCTCGAATGTGTACTCGAAAGAAAGTGAGGACTCAAAGCGCACTTAAAAAAATGTAAGGGCTCAAAGGCATACTTAAAAAGAGGTAAAAGCGTGAAGCGTACTAAAATGAGGTGAGAGCTCGGAGGCCACTTAAAAGAGAGGTAGGGTTAGGAAACGCACTACCTTAAATGATTAAGGACTCAAATGCACACTTTAAAGGAGATGAAGGCTTGAAGACACTCTAAAAAAATAAGATATGGTTAGAAAACGCACTACTTTGAATGGTTAAAGGCTCAAAGGAGCACTCGAAAGGAGATGAAGGCTTGAAAAAGCACTTGAAAAGAGACAAGGCTCGAAGACGCACTTAAAAAGGGAGGTAGGGTTAAGAAACACACTACCTCGAGAATAGAAAATGAAAGGTGGTGGAAAAATACAGAGATTTTTCAAGTGGTTTAATTCTCATAGGTGGCGTGCCCAACAATTTCAATATTGACCATTTCAAGGTGACCTTCCATTTGATAGATCCCAATAAAAATTTCTATTATGAAATTTGTAAAACTCATTGTTCATTATCTCAAAGTTTAGATGATATGCATGCATTTTTACTTAATTTGAAATATAAGCTCTCATTTCTGTTTGATCTTCTTGTTGCTTTGATTGATGAGGACTTGCTATCTTTTATTTAGGTCATCTTCATTGTTTGACTTAAAGTCCAGTCGAGTGGGACCATGTAAGTTTTTCCAGATTTGTTTACACAACTTAGCCTTCATGATGCCCATCATGACCCATTATCTTGTAAGAGATTTTTTGTTTCGTCATATAATTTGAGAAGATCATTCATTATCTCAGTCTCACTATTACAAACCATTCGGTGTCACTTGCTAAAAGAATCAAAATGCCCTCGTGTCTTGTTGTAGGAAATGTTCATCTCTTTTTTTCTAGAAAAAATTGATTTTCTTTAAACACAAAGTTGCTCCCTTGTACTAGTCATTGCCCCTAAACGTGCTATGTCAGTGACTTAAACAAATAATGGTTTTAAGAGGTCATTCTCTCATTTCTCTTCTTTTTATTTTGGTGAAGGAATATAGGTTTATAATAAATTTTGAAATCTTGATCTTGCATTTTGAAAAAAAAAATTGTTTTGATGTGAGTCTAAAACAATTTGTTTTTGAAATCTGCACCTCCTTAGTTATTTTCTTTCTTGAAAAAAAGATTATTTGCTTTTGTGTTTGGCAATGAGGTCTTCGGTGAAAATACATCATAAGATGACCTTTTGTTTTTATAGATTTTCAAAATGAAGAGCTCGAGAAAAAACTCAAGGTTTTGTCTGAGAAAAACTTGTTTTTTGTTTAACACTTATTTTTAACGGCATGAATAATAATGAATATAATCAATCCTTTATTATAATTTTTAAAGACATGTTAGGATTTTTATTAAGGAACAATTTTTTAACTAAGACATTTCTTAATCAAACATTTCCTCTCTAAAAATAAAATATCATATATCTATATTTTTTATTTATTTTTAAAAATCACCATAATATATGATAACCCGCATGTATTTTAAAATGTTTTGCATTAAAAAATATTAAAATAATAATATTATTATTATTTTTAATATAGGCACATTAAAATAATTTAAAAATATAAAAATTTTAATTTTAAAAAATATTTAATTTTAAAAAAATACTTTTAAAATGTAAAAACAAACAAAATATAGAAACATACAAGGTTATTGGAGGAAGGAGCTGTACTGATCATAAACAAGTTGAAAAACCAACTTTCACTTCATAGATAGCGGTACCGTACAGATCATAAGCAAGTTGAAAACCAACTTTCACTTCATAGATGGCGGTACTGTACAGATCATAAGCAAGCTCAAAACTAACTTTCACTTCATAAATAGCGGTACGGTTAAGGATCAAAATGTCTTACGGAGATGTCATTTAAATGTATTGAGATTAACAAATCCTAGAAACTGCTCCCTTTCACAGCAATCATGGTTGAATTTGATTGCTTTCTGATATCTGCAACACAAATTTTCAAAATATCCTGTATTCCATATCTCCATAGAGGATTCATTGCGTTTCAATTTGTATTTTACGTATTTTCCCCTCTCCCATAATATCATCTTTAATTCAAAACAATAATATATGTACAAGGAAGTAAGCTTGAGCTTCGTTATCCAAGAATTTTATCTTGGTAAAAATGTTACTGAAGAAAACTGCAGCTAATGTACGAAGTCATTGCCATCCTGCTGCAATGCCAGGAGAATGTTGATCCTTGATCATATAATTGCAAACGTCACCACGACAGCATTGGGCTTCCAATTGACTTCCACTGTCAATCCGAAAATGACTTCCACATGGGAGGCTGTGCAAAGCAGAGACTTCGATGCACTCTGAGATTATTAATACAAGCTCGAGCCCTGGAAACATGAATACTTTCAGTACTCGGAAAAAAGCAAACAAAGCACCATCAACTGGCATTTCTCTCCAAGATCTATTACATAACATCGTTAGCAACATATAGACTCAGTGCCCTGGTGAAAAAACGCATGCCGAGTAACCAATTTGTTATGTTAGGATAGTTGAGTATTTTTCATATTAAGGAGATTCCTACAGATGCTCAAATTCATGCACTTAAATTATCCAAAAGAAGGACCAAATTACAAAATCAGACTTAAAAATGCATGATTAGATGTGCCCCCTCTTTGATTTTAGAAGCTTGATTTCCAGACACCACCACTCGCTTTGTTATTTAGCCTTTGTTAGTGAAACATGCTCTTTATACTTTGTATGTTGACCTGATTAGATTTAACAAACTTGAAAATAAAAATGTTATTAAATTCCTTGAGGTGAGACCAAATGTAGAATCATGTGAAAATTTACCAAACAATAGCCCATTCTCAATCTGACTTCTCGATCTCTCGGAATCTCTGATCCCATTCTCGGGCCTCAATATCTTGCTCAATTATGTCCTTGTCAGTGGTATAGACGATGCGATCCTGCCCTATGACTGTTTTTTGGGCCATATCCCGAGCACTTAGTATCTGGCAGGCAACAAGATGAAAAGAATTATTTCCTAATGGATTTCATGTACACTAAACAAGTATGTTGTAGAAATAGCAGCGGATCTGTCCTCAAGAATTTTGTAACCACAACATCAGCAAGATCCAACGCTGGATTATTGGGAGCAAGTTGAATAAACAAGCTCCTGCAAGAATGTAGTGAAATCTCAAGATATCATAGAAAGTGGCAATAATTGCCAAAGGATGAGAAACCTAAATATCAAGGTCAAATGATCACATGCAATTTTTCCACCTCACGTAATTTGAAGATATGATGCTAGAGACTGTCGGGCAATTTTCTTTTTGCTTGCATAAATCTAAATATAATATTTCATAAACAAATACATGTTGAGAAAAGTAACCAGTATTTGATTAATTTGAATTTGATGAACTGCCATATAGCAAGCAAGAAGAACTAAACTGTAGAACTACCATTTGTTACCAAAAAGAGCTTCTGCTATGTATTTGCTAACCAAAAATGACGTTGTTTTAATAATACTGTTGACCCAAAAGATACCATGACATTGAAGGCACTAGAGAAGGAGGGACGATGTCAAATAAAAACATGCCACTAGACTGGAGAGATATAATGCTTCAGCAACCAGCCAACACCTTGCAAGCCCAAAGGGTTCTTACAGTCGGGCAAGTTGAGGATTGATGCCATGAAGACTAAAGCCAAGTCATGACAAAGGATTAGAAACTAGGGTCTCTGGTCATTTGGTCTTTCTAGTATTCACAACAGAAAATTGTTAAATCACCTAATGACAAAGCACGAGTTTTAAGTTTGAAATACCATTCACAATCAACTATAAATGCAAAAGTGCAACGTACAAAAAGCATTTCAAGTGGCTACCTTCCGCCTCAGTGAAAGATCAGGTAACTCAAGCATTTGAGCACATTGCTCCCTTGCTCTGTTTCTATTTTCTATTTCAGCATTCCTTTGGAGAACGAGGAACCAGCGGATCAATGGAATTGCAAAGAAAGAACCGGCATATATCTGCAAGTTTAATTATTGGTAACTATTTAGACAAACACTGCTAGACGTAATCAATAATATTGAAGCACCAAGAACCTAATATTTCTAACTTATATTGGATAGAGTAGATAAAAAATTTAAAAAAACTAGAATCATTATCATTAAGTATTGAAAGTACCAAGAACCTAATGTTTCCAGCTTCTATCAGAATAGAGTTGACACTCAAAAAGATAGATCTAGAAATCATCAGGATGATAAAGCTTAGATTTTGCAAGTCTTCGGAAAATCAGTTAGCAAGCAGACCAAAAAAAAATACTGAAGCACAGAACCATTGATGAGTTCTTATAATGGGATTGAGAGAATTTACAATACTCTTGAATCATCTCAACCCAAACGCTTCAATTGTGAAATGATGTTCCACAAATAGTTTTATTCTACTTTCTAGCACACTACCTTAAGTAAAAGCTTTTTGAGCTTGAAAAGTTAAAAGAGAGAATGAGATGATCAAATTTAAACTCATGACCGTTTAGTTAACAAGGCTCTGATGCTATATTAAATAATCATCTCAATCCAAAAACTTAAATTGTTAGGTAAGGTCCCAAAAATAATTTTATTTTACTCTCTAACAATAGACAACTAATCTGTAATTGACTGCAATTTATTTATTTGCAAAGAAACATTAAAAAATACCTGAAGTAGAGGAAATATGCTAGAAACAAATTTAATGAATCCTCCATTTTGTGTAATGGCCATGTCCCTTCAAATCAAGAGATAAGTGGAGACTTTAGAGAGATGAAACATAAATGCACCAAGAAACATCAATTCTCAAGAAACCATACTGCAACATTGTTCCAAGAATGATCACTCCAAATAGATTAAGCCCGCCCAACCCAATGGCCATTGCTCTCTCTGATGAACTTGTCTTACTGCAAAAGGAAACTTCCCAGATCAAGGAACTTAATAGCACACAGACCACATTTATGTGGCAAGAACTAGCAAAAGAGGAACCTGAATTGCCATGTTTTCTCTCTGAAAAACTTCCCAACCCCTCCAACCCAATCTGCCCATCGTTTACCCACATATTCCTTCTTCCCACTCCTTTTAGAAGAAGCTGTACGCTGAAGTGAAGGGAATTGATACAGAATATTTCCCTACACGATGAGCAGTTTGGATAAAAGTATAAGTGGAACCTTCTCACACTAGCACAACCAGGTACAAAAATCCCACCCTTTATAACAAGACATTCTTCGAACATGGATGCCAATTATAATGCATACAAGTAAAACAAGAACTTTCATTGTTGTCTTATTCATTGATATGCAAATATGAAAAAACAATTAGCAATGAACTCTCCTATTTCATTAATCATCACATTAGTTTTGATACCTGTTCATCAATTTCTGGCTTTCCATCAAACCGTAGAAGAACTGGTAAGATGTATGATTCATCACTCTGAACACAACAAGACAAAAAGGTCATATAGCCAAACTGAAAACAGCAAATAACATGGGTGCAGGGAGAAAGTAGAAACTAAACTGGTAGAGTCTTCAGAAGGTCAATTAAATGTGATCAATCAGAATTCTATATACATATTGACAAGAAGTTCTGAATGAAATCCAGGTGATTTTTTTGAATGGGTTGGAGAGGGGAGGCTAAGAGCCCCAAACCCCGCCCCCCGCCGGCCCATTTCTTACTTTTAATCTCTTTTTCACGGTGATTCAACAACAAAATTGAATGGATGGAGATGATAATGGAAATCCCCCTAGGTTGATGAAGTGTGTAGGGATTTGAATTTGATTCAGCAGTTTTGGAGATTTTACCATTTTTATGCAATTTCATGACTGTAATTTAAGTTCTGTGCATCTGATTATGAAACAACAGACATGATCTAGAAAATTTCTAAACAAGTAACATGAGTCAATTTGAAACCCAGAACCCAATTTCCTTGGCTAAATGATTGGTTTTGATTTATAATCAGGCACACACTTTCAAGCTGTGTACAATTTAAACTGTTTGTTAGTCCCTTAATTTCTGTAGAGCACATTCCAAAATTTTGTTTTTTTTTTTTTTGTTTTTACACTGTTAAAAAGATATTTGGTTTTCATATTTTATATTTGTTTAAAATTTTCCCCTTTTGAAAACAGAAAAATGACATGAAAATGATGTGTCAAAACAATTTCTTTAAATTAGACTTTAGTGAATAATTTATAAAACAACAAGGATATAAACTCTACATTCACATAAAAACAAGCACCTTGAGTGTTTTCAACTGTAAAGATTTTAAATAGTACGAATGAAAAGCATTCCAAATGGTTGAAAGATCTATTGGGTACAAGGCGCAGGATATATAAGCAGGGAAAAAAAAAGATGTTACTTTCCATGAAACAAATATAAGATAATGAAACCAAGACTATGCATTGATGTTGAGGGTAACAGCTTGGAGTTGGGGAATTACAAATGTAACCAGTATACAGGGCTATTTCTGGTTGTTTCCCTAACTTCTGAATAGGTAACGTGAAATTTCAAACTGATAATGGCCAATCTGGGTATGACTTTGAGAGAAAGTAATCATTGTGAATTCAAGGGAAGAAATAACAAGTTCAACAAATATAGATGACGAACTACATTATCATGCAAGGTATTTAAAATAAAATATATGTATACATGTATATGCATACCATATCCTTGGTAGTTTTCAAATCAAGAAACGGTGCTAGTTCTTCAGCAGCAACAACACCACCATTTGAAGAAATATATTGTCCAATCTGTAAATATGTTCAGAACAAAACAATATCCATAAATTCCTGCTCTAATTTATTGTCTTCCTTGAGAATAAACAACTACGACTGTAACTAGTTCAAAGACAATAAGAGGAAGGATCCAACAAACAAAAAAAAAATCCAAAAAAGAAAAAGAAAAAAACAATTGCTACCATCAACCATAGAAATTGCAAAGAAACTAACTTCTTCAAAACTGTCCTTTCTAGAAGATGACACATAAAACAAAAACTTCTAATCCTTGTCCACATCAAACTTGTAGTTAAGTATTAGTGTGAACCCTCAAATGTAAACCTTGGCCAAAAATGATTGTGGGTAATATAAGTCAGTACCTAGACCAAAATGAAACTTGCTAGGTCAATCATATGGATCTTATACTTGAAAAACCATGTGTACCAAGATGTCATCAAGATTCAAGCCATATGATTTAATTCATTCACACAACTAAATGAATTTTTTGGAGAAAAAAAAGAACAGGATGGATGGTCAAATTAAAGGATCTAAACATGTACCAAGCATATGAAAAGAATGTGAATCACAGACAAGAGGCATGGAAGGCAGCCAGGCAATAAAAAAAAGGTAGAAATGATAAAACGAGAAAGTTAACAGAAATTTAAGTGAAAAGGTTCCACCAATTAGATGAAAAACAATATGTTGAAAAGCAACGGACCACTGAACTCAGTACTGAAGTATTACCAACTTCCACCTCTCTTCTTCAATTCCTTGATTTGGATCACCATCACCAAATACGAACGAGAATACCTAAACGACAGTAATTCATGAAATTTGTTGTCTTTCCAGGAGGTGAAAGTAACCAGAGAAGAAATTAGACATGAAGCAAGTTTTTCACTTACAGATTCGATGAAGTTCATTTTGTCACCACCATCTGTTCTGAGTTGTCTTCTCCTATAGTAATATGGATCCCAGTACCTAACAAGAAAT